TTTACAAGGACGGGAGGATCAGATTGCGCACCTCAAGCCGATGTACTCGCAAGTCTCCTCCCCTCCTCCTATGCTACGTCTGATGCCCTGAGCAGCGAGGTTGCGTCGGTCCGAAAAGACCAGGTCAAGCTCATGCGAGACAGTGGATGAGAGGAGTGGGTGGGAGAGGGGAGGAGGAGGAGGAGGGAGGGGGAGGGATTGGGAGACCTGAGGAGGATAAGAGGATGGTCTGAATGTTTACTCATCATGTATATTTTACAGATCAAGGACGTATGACGACAAGGTATAACATACCCTCCTCTCCCCTTCCCTCCTCTGCCTGCCTGCCTGCCTCCACTCGTTTCCCAGTTCTTCATTCCTTTCCCCTGCACAGGCCCTCCTTCTTCGGGACAGCGCCCACCTAGTGGCCGACTACGGTGCTCATGTACCCAAGTGAGTTTCACCCTCACACAGCTCTCTTCTCATCTCCTCTTCAGGAAAGGGGAAGTCATGCACAGGGAAACTGAAGGAGCCGTCGGAGAAGACAAAGTGAGAAGGATCATGGAGAAGAGGGAGAGGAGAAGGAGAGAAGAGGGAGAGAAGAGAAGGGATGAGAGGAGAGGAGAGGCGGAGGAGGAGGCGGAGGAGGCAGAGGAGGGAAGGGGGCGAGGAAAGGAGAGGGGGAGGAGCGCTCAACAGTCTCCAGGCGCTGCTGCACGAGGATCACAAGAGGCTAAGGAAGGACTTCTCCAACATGAGGAGGCAACCCGTCTGACCTCCTCGAGTTTGCGCTGACTCCCTGGATCAGGGACAGGAGGCAGCTGGAGCAGGATGAGCACAGCACTGTGGATGTAGGACGGGGACCCCTTCCTTCCATGCCCATGACTCGTGGTGGCAGGTGAGGGGGGCCAAGGGTGCCAAACGAGCTGAGAAAATGTACGACAACGACGAGCCCTCCTCCAGCAGCCACCGAAGGCACGCTAGCCACAGTGGCGCCCTGACCTCTGGCAAAGTCAAGATGGTGAGCCCAACTTGTCAAACTCATGCTCCTAAGTCAACCCTCTTGCAGATCATGGCTGGGCTGTGCGGAGTCCTCCTGGTGCTGCTGGGTAAGAGCTGGGAAGGGCTGGGTTTCCTCTTCCGACCCTTCGGCTTTGCAGGCATCCTCGTCCTCTTCCGTCAGTCTCGTTCAAGTCGTTCGTCAAACGCCGCTGAGTCCGGCGACAGGCAAATCCCTGCTGCTCCTCCAGCTGCCTTCCTCCTTCGCTCCTCCTCCTCCCCCTCCCTCCTCCTCCTCCTTCGCTCCTCCTCCTCCTCCTCCTCCTCCTTCGCTCCTCCTTCGCTCCTCCTCCCCCTCCTCCCCTCCCCTTCTCACTCTCATGCGTGTCTTAGGATTCCCCTGCGGCAAGGAGACCCTCGATCCATCCCGGTAAAAGTCAACTCACCCGCTCCCTCAAGGCTCATCCCTTGCATCGCAGAAGCACATGACCTTGTAGCCCCGAGGCCTCTGCTGGACTTTGAGCTGAGAAAGCAGCTGGGAGCTGGCGGCCGCATCGGCCTGGATGGCTCCGGCTCCAGCAACGGAGTCAGGCTCACCCAAGACTTTTGCTGTCCTGGCCGTTGGCATGCAACAAGGCTGACAAGCTTGAGATGAATGAATGCACATACTCCTCTATCCTGAGCCCGTTGATGGCATCCTCGAAGGATTCGAGCAGTGGAGACTCCAGCACGATCCCAAGAGCGTGCTGGACGCTCGCATGCTGCACCAGCGGTTAACGGACTTTGACATGGTCAGTCCACCATACTGACCTGGAGGATGTCCGGAGAAAGCCAGTCCAGCAGGCTGTAGGAAGTTGTCAGGAGCTCGTCAAGGTCGTCAAGACTCTTGCAAGCTACCGGAAGGGGATCGTCTCCAGAGGGCCAGCTGACGAGCTGAGAAACGGCGTCAGATGTCTGGTCCCCATGGAGCAGCAAGGGATGCCTGTAGGTCGTCACGAAGACCTCGTCGACGTAGAGGTAGTCCGAGTCTGCTACCACGTACTTCACCTGCGCCGAGCTTCACCCTCCTCTCCTGCTTCCCCTCCCTCCTCCCCATCACCCGCTGCGTTCGGTTCTGGACTGTGACGATCTTGGCGGTGTGTTGACAAGCATGGAGGGGGGTCGTCAAGTCGACCCTGAGCGTTCTCAGCTCACTCTTAGAGGCCACTGGGCTGATACACACAACGTCCCCCTCCTTCAGCTCGTCCGCAAACATGTGTTTGACATCCGGTGTAGTCACGTTGCCGGACGAGGCAAGTACCGGCAAGACATGCTTCCTTGAGAGCTGCAGCTGCAAGGCTTGTCCTTGACTCGTTCTTGCCGTGACTATCGACGTCTGCCTTGCTGTCTCATGCTCGAACACGAAGACAACTCGCGCGAACCTCGTCTTGTTCCTACGGTTGTCATGTGACAGGATCCCTGTCCCCCGGGGTTTGACGTCCTTGATCCTGATCCGTTCAGCCCTGACCCCCTCACTGCCCGCCCCTTCTGCTGCCTCCTCCACTTGTCTCAGCACGCTTCCGTCCACACTGAAACATCCTGCCAGCACTGACTTTCCTACAGCAGTACACTGAGAGTTCGCAGTTATGTACGCCTGCTGGGAGACAGGGGCTGCCGCACATAGTTAGTTCATGTTCAGCCTCCCGTTCCTCGAGTTGCTCCTCCTCTCACCTCCAGCACTGTAGACGCTGAGGAAGTTGCAGCGGCTGCCGATGGAGGCGAAGTATGGGAGGGTAACGTTGTTGCAAGAGGCGTGCATGGCGGCGCAGGAGTCGTAGCAGATCTGCGTGAACTCCTTGTCGTCGTTGGTGCACAAGGGGAAGTGGTAGGCACAGATGACTTGCTTGAGGGCTGTGACGCAGGCAGCTGAGGGCTGACTCTGAGAGTAGAGCTGAACCATCTTCTCAGCATAGGCCAGGTCCGTCTTTGCCTGCGAGCAGGACTGGGAGACCCCAGAAAGTGAGCGAGGAGAGCAGAGGAGAGGGTGGAGGGACAGCCAGCAGGTCACCTGGAGGACGGTG